ATGGTTCTTGAGAAACTTCGAAAAAAGCAGCGTCATGTTCAAGTGGATTTTGCAACTCAAAAAAAACCACGCAAACCTAAAACTTCTTGAATTCACGCATTTTTTGAGAAAGCTGCCAACATTTACCCATCCATGGTTCACTTTCTAAAAAGGCGATTTATTTCTCTCGAGAAGGATGTACAAATGAGCGTTCTTGCTCATTTTTCCTCCGAGAAATGAGCAAAAACGGACCGGAAAACATGACATTTTTGCATAATCTTGAACCTAAGTGTTCGATATTCAAATTTCGCTTTCTGGGTCAAAACTACTCGAATTTCCTCACTTACGTTGTTACGACTGAAGCGACTTTTCAATTCTCTATCCAACGATGCCAAAACGAATTATGTGGCTCGAATCGTTCTTGAGAAACTTCGAAAAAAGCAACGCCACGTTCAAGTGGATTTTGCAACTTAAAAAAAACCACGCAAATCGAAACCTTCCTGAATTCAAGGCTTTTTTGAGAAAACTGCCAGCATTTTACGTACAAATGAGCGTTCGTGCTCATTTTGCCTCCGAGATATGAGCAAAAACCGGACGGAAAACATGGAATTTTGGCATAATCTTGAACCTAGGTGTTTGATATTTAAATTTCGCTTTCTGGGTCAAAACTACTCAAATTTTCTCACTAACGTTGTTATCACTGAATCGACTTTTCAATTCTCTACCCAACGATGCTAAAACGATTTCTGTGACCCGAATGGTTGTTGAGAAACTTCGAATAAAGGCCATTTAGTTATCTCTGGAATGATGTAAAAACGAGCGTTCTTGCTCCCTTTGCTTCCGAGAAGCATGCAAAACGGAACGGAAAACATGAAATTTTGCAATAATCTTGCGCCACCCTTGCACAAAACGACGATCATTTTTCTAATTTCATAGTTAACAGAAGACTGTACTTTTTCTACATAACCCCCCAGACCAGAAGAAGCAGAAAAAGGGCTCTGATTTTTTTGGGCTTTACTACACAAAAGCGGTAGAGCTCTTTCTATGACTTCCCAAAATTCGGACTTAATTTCTAAACGGATTAGGAAGGAACAAAATTTTATACTATAAATTGCGCAGCAAATCTCTCAACAAAAATTAGCGCAGTTTTAGGGGTCGATCTAATGCAGTTTTTACCGTCCAATGCCTTAATCAAACAGCATTCTCCTGGCGCTTTTAAGTGCATGTTTTCATGGCTTTATCGCCCAAACCCCAATAGCACCAAAGGCCTGATTAGATTTATATTCGCTCTAGCGTCGTTAAAGCCCCAATAAACATCTAATTTGCTCCTTAACATTGAAACGAGCGCTTCTTCATCTGCATGTGTGCAGGTTGCTGGACCAGTTCACCCTCGCCCTGCAGCCCTTAGCAAAATCTTTACTTAACTGATTAACCAGCGTCGTTGTTTGTTCGGCTTCGGTTCCTTATTCGAGCCGATGGAAAGTCGGCCATTTTCACCCATTACCTTCTGCCCACGGATTCGCAGCTTCCATTCACATCCAGCCCATAAATCTGCGAGTCAAAAATGGCGTGATTTGGCGCCCGACGTCCGTCGCGACGACCTCGATGCCGTTGCCAACTCCACGAGATGCCGTCGTCTAGGCGGCTTTCCGAACTTCACTTTGATTTCCATTGAAACTTTTTTTGCCAAAGTTTCCATAACGCGGCTCATGTTCGAAATTGGGCCAACACCATCCATTATTTGGTTCGATCTAAATGATTCTAGTTCTTAAAGTGTTTGGGTTTGGTTGGGGAAACTTTGGAAGTTTTGCTGAATTTTGAATCTTCAATTTTAGGCCCCTTGAAACTGAAACTGACCACCGGCAGAATTGAATAAATTGTCAGTTGAATGAAAGTTTCTTCCAAAGCGCCTAACTTGCACTAGACAGTTCTCCGATGTTCATTTAAATTTTGAAATAACCCCTGAAGAAAATGAAACTAAATTTAGCGACAACCAGCCCTTGGCGGCAGGGGCTGGCCTACTTCTGAAGCCGTTTAATGCACGTTCCAGTTGCTTCTGAGTCTTTTGCAATCGCCCTGCTGAGCAATCAGCAATCCCAGATAGTTTGTAGTTGATTTTTGCAAATGTTTTTGTGTGGTTTGCAGGTTGGCCGCCGCCCAGGAGGCAGCAGTTATACAGGCAGCTCAGGGCTCAGCTTCGGGCCGACACTTCGCAGGGGCGGGGGGCACCTTCTTGGGCGGGGCGCTGTGCAGCTCGTCAGCTGACGCGATGGGCGGCCAGCAGGCCCCCCACCCAGGCGGCTCCTCATCGCTCTTTCTCTTCTCCGAAGAGAACATCATCAGAAGATATACCAGATTCATCATCGAGTGGCCATATCCTTTTAGCGTTTTGTCAATGTTTTTTCAAATCTTCGCTAAAACCACGATTTTCATGGGTGGGTTTTCGAAAAACTTGCTGATCAGCTTCGGCTCTGGACCCAAACATAGCAACTTGATTGTTTTCTACACACACACAAGTGTGTGTTCATTTTCAGTTTCATCGCTGAATATACGGGATGTTTGTCCTTTTTTTGCAAACACCCTGTATGTGTCCGGTGCAGGATATCGGTGCAAGCAGGCCTTTCCGCTTAGCAACCCAACTTAATCCCGTCAGCTCTATGGCTAAAGGATGGGAAAACCTGTGGTGACGTGAAAATGCAAATAAAGCAAAAATTGATCAAAGAGCTTTGCTGGACTACAAAGCCGAAGATATCGATTCGTGCATCTCAATTTCATTTTAGAATAGCTCTGTTTTCCGACTACCAGTGGCGCCCGTGCGATTCAATCAATCAATTGAACACGGAAAAATACATGAAGTGTAATTTTATAAACAATTAAACTTTAAAACCGTTTAGGTCAAAGCCGCCCATCGACTAAGTTCACTCAATTTTTGTCAAAATGTAACTTTGCACGTTTTTTCCCTGGCCTCTTTATTTTTAAATTCGAAAATTTCGTGACTTTCTATAGGAATATCCAAAAACAATGAATCAGATAATGCCATTCAAGAACGTAATTCGCATCGATTGTCTCACTCGCACCCATAGAACTTTATCAGAACTGTCAGATTGCGGCTCGTTGCTACGTTCCAACTTGGCACCTTGGCGACTTAAAAGAACTTAGCTTTGATCGAGAAAAAATGTGCAAAATATTATCATATTTTCCAAGTTTCTGAAAACTAGTCAACATTATTCGGTTTTTCAACCGTAAAATCCCCAGAATCTATCGAATACAAATCACCAGTTTGTTTGTTTGCAAAATTTAAAAAAATAATAACTGCAAAGACCAGGTGGAAAATGTTCTTGAGGTTCCAACTTTAAGAAAATATAAAATTTAAAATCGAAAACTCTGAAATGGGGATGCAGCTTAGGGGTTGAAAATGGTTTTTTGCGATTTTCGGCGAAACGTGACCACCTAGCGGAAAACGTTCAATGGCAAAGCAGTTTATAATAAAAAAATCTAAAACTTCGGTATTTAACAGTTTTTAGCATAACCTCAAATTCATCGTCAAAATGGCGAGAAACCGATTTTTTTGTTTTTAATTTTTTTCTCGCGTATAAAAGATTTAATGAACATGAAAAGCTTTAAAAGGAGGTCGTTTTTGGGGTTGAAAAGGTATTATTCTTTTGCAGCTGCGAATACGACTCGTTTTCGAGTTATGCACATTTTTCGAAAAAACTACTCGTTTCTTCCACGAACATTGTCATGATATATTTTTGCATTCGGTCTATAAGTAGTCATAAGAGTGGATTTTACATATATTTCTAAACATAGTTGTAATGACATTCCAGCATTAAAATGTGCAAGCAAATATGTATCTTGTTTATTTAACTTTTCAACATGGTACTTACTGTAATAAAATTCATTCCACTCTGATAATCTTACTTAAAGCAACGTCCATTGTGTAAAAATTGAACAAACCAAACTGTGATTCAGAGACACTTTTGAGTTTGTCGCAATTTTCAGCGGTTTAACGATAAATAAACCACCAAGTCACCATTTTAAAGTAGATATTCCGACGATTAAAATGACCGCTGATACGCTTTCCTAATAATAATAAAAAAAGAACAAGACAATTGTTCTTGGATAAGGGTAGTTTTTTAGAAAAATGCACATAATTCGAAAACTCGCCGCCTTATAAACTATCAAAAAAACAAGCTTATTCTGCACCAAAAACGACATACTTTTGCAAATTTTTATGTAAATCATATCATTTATGCGCGAGAAAAAAATTAAATACTGAAAAATCGGTTGTTTGCCATTGTGACTATTAATTTGAGGTTATGTGGAAAAGTGTTAGATAGAAAAGTTTTAGAGTTTTGTATTATCCACAGCCTTACTCTTGAACATTTCCTGCTAGCTGGTCATGTTTTGCCGCAAATCCCGAAAACCCGTTTTCAACCCCACCTAAACTACTTCCCCATTTCACCATTTCCAGAAATTTCGTGTTTAAATTTAAAATAAAAACCGAATAATCTTGACAAAGGAATAGGAAATTTCAAATATTTGTCACATTTTTTCTCGCTCAAAACTGAGTGGTTTTGCAGCGCAAAGGTGCCAAGTTCGAACGTAGCAACGCGCCGCAATGTGACAACTCTGATAGAGTTCTATGGGTGCGAGTGAGACACTCGATGCGAATTACGTTCTTGAATGGCATTATCTGATTCATTGTTTTTGGATATTCCTATAGAAAATCACGAAATTTTCGAATTTAAAAATAAAGAGTCCAGGGAAAAAACGTGCAAAGTTACATTTTGACAAAAATTTAGTGTTTCGTGTTGGTTCTTTGTTCTTGAATGGCACTTTTTCATTCAGTCGAATCATAGTGTGAGTACCCGACTTAAACACCTAGAACTAAATTCTTATAGAAAATCACCCATAATCAATCGCAAAAAATACTAACAGCGCACTGTTATTCATTTACTTATTATATGAAAATTCGTACCGGTACAAGCCTAATAGCCCCGAAGGGGGGTTCATCCACTCGTTTAGCGCGGAAAAAACTTCAAAATTGAGCAAACTAACCGATCTACGCCATTGCTTTTGGTGCTTAGTAGGCAAAAAGATGACAGTGTTTCCCATTATCAGCCACAATGTATAGAGGCTTCATGCATATGGACGTGGCGCGCTCGAGCTGTTGACCCAGTTTTTAAAGCGCTCTGAAAACAACATCAACATAGGCCAACTTTTGAAAAATTGCCATTTCCAGATCAGATCGTCGGCAAATTTAAATCGGGCATGATTCTGACAGGAAGCCATTGAAAAAACCCAAGATAAATCGGGGGCGTTGCATCATGACCCATTTAGTTATCTGCCCTCAACTCCGACCTGTTTAAAGGAGAGGTCTCAATTTCAAATCGGTTTTAATATGCCGATTGCAACAGCAACAGTGGCAGCTTCACGGTGTTCTACTCACTCTAGGAAACTTCAAAGTTTTCCTCATTTCACACACTTTTTTGCTTGTTTGAATAAATCTCCTTAACAGAATGTTCACTCCTTTTGAGTATGCTGTACTTTTGACAATCATTGCCAACTGCGTCGTCCTAGCACTGGAAGAGCATCTGCCTAGTGCCGATAAAACCTCGTTAGCACAAAAACTAGTGAGTTCCAGTCCATTCCAGACGGAGGATTTTGATTAAAAGCGCCTGTTCCAGGAAAAAACTGAAGTCTATTTCCTGGGCATATTCTGTGTGGAGGCTTCCTTGAAGATTCTAGCCTTAGGCTTCGTTTTGCATCGGGGCTCATACTTGCGAAACATCTGGAACATCATGGATTTCTTCGTGGTGCTTACCGGGTAAGTTTGCGGCTTTCCCCTACCAGCCTGCCAACCGGACTCTTACCCTGAGCCAACTTCAACTGCATGCCCTTTAAATTGTATCCATTCCAACCGATTTAGATAAACTTCTTCATTCCGGCCGGATCTTCCAGGGGACTTTGTAATGTTAGATAGTAATTTTTGTTGCCAAACGTGCAAAAACCATCAAAATTTCCAATCTTAAACGCCAATTACCGCACAGGTCAATGACAGTCTTCGCTGAGGCCAACGTTGACGTGGACTTGCGGATGCTGCGCTCATTTCGGGTCTTACGGCCCCTGAAGTTGGTCTCGAGAATACCAAGTAAGAGCCCGAAACGTCGACGTATCAGTTTTCCTTCCTAGCAAATAGCAGCATCGTTTCGCTAGGGTTTAGATCTTCTAGACGTTGCCAGTGGTTTTAGAACTTGAACATTACTAGAACACTTGATTGGTTTTGTATTATTATTATTATTATACAGTGTTGGCCATTTGCAGGATTTTAGCATAGATAGCGTTAGCGTTAGAGTTTCTAGAACTTGAGTAGTGATTAGAGGTATGTTGAAACAAGGCGCCCATAAAACAGCTAACTGCTACCAGTTTCCATAGGGGGTTTCAGGAGAAATTTGCCGGTTTGCTCACGACTTTTCCTCTGATACAGCGTGTTCCAAAAGGGCGCCCCCAAGTCCTCCAAGTCACTAGCCGAAACTGCCTTGACTCTAGAGAGTCTAGAGTTTCGGCCACGATTGAGCTAAACTGAAACTTGGAACACGCTGTATTTCCATCCACAGTCCCGAACTAGTTTATAGTAAACTAATAGCGACTAGTGTTACTCGTAGCTCTGCTAGAGGCTAGTTTTGTTTCTAGGTTTCTCACTCAGTTCCCAGAAGATTTAGTAGCCGTCGACCTACGCACCTTGCGAGCTATCAGAGTACTTAGACCTTTGAAGCTAGTCTCTGGCATCCCTAGTAAGTAGATTTGTAGCTGACTATCTTAGAGCTGTAGCCACTTCTATTCTACTCTTCTAATAGCTACATGACTCTTTGTCTCTTTCCTCACTTTTGTTTTTCGTACTGTAACAGACACTCTGCATTCAACACCAATTTACCACTTGGAGGTGATGTTTGGTTCTCTTCCATTCTTCACACGATTGCGTCGAACAGAAGCCCCGATAGCTGAACGTTTGGTTCTCTGTTTAGGTTTGCAAGTGGTGCTGAAGTCGATTATCAAGGCTATGGCCCCGCTGCTCCAAATAGGATTATTAGTTTTATTCGCCATTGTGATATTCGCCATTATTGGACTGGAGTTTTACTCGGGAGCCTTGCACAGAACCTGCTATAGTCTGTACGATATCGGTAAGACCCAGTGGCAGCTGAGGCGATCTGCTTGGCTCGATCCTCACTGGTCTTTTGCTGTTTTAGAGGAAATCGTGCGCGAAAATGAGGAGGAAGTGCCATGTAACACCGACAATGAAACTGAAGCTAAGTCGCAAGGGAGCAATTGGTGCCGGGATGGAAGCAGCGTTTGCTTGGAACGATGGCAAGGTCCCAATAATGGAATCACATCCTTCGATAATATCGGATTTGCCATGCTGACGGTGTTCCAATGCATCACCATGGAAGGATGGACCTCTATTTTGTATTGGGTAGGGACACTTTTGCTGTTTCCTCAGAAAATGATTTTTTTTATAAACAGGGAGCGAATTGTGTTTTTGTGCATACAAAAAATTGAAATGACGAAAATGAGAAAAATCTCTCAGCGTCCACAACATTGGCCGATTCCAAAGTTTTCGTTTTGCTTAGTGGAAACAATAATTTTTCAGACTATTTTTTTTATTGAAAACTGCAACTTTTGCCGGAAATTTTCGAGAGCTCGAAAAGGTGCCATGAGAAAGTGTTTATTGGTATAATTTAAAATAACTAACTAATCAAATATAAGCAAAAACGAAAGTCCGAAAAATGACTTTCTTCTAAATATCGCAAAAATTAACAGCAAAACTTGTTCAATTTAACCGGCTTCGAACCTCCTACGGTTTCGGAGCAATCTTAACTTGGACACCCCGAAACGTTCAAAATTATAACATTCTCCACCAATAGACAAAATTTCGAGAAAGCTGAGCATACGATTTGAAAACAGCAAATTGCATTGCTTTATTCGCATTTTGCTCTTTAATTCAGCAATTTTTTTGCCTTGAAATTCATCGTCCACTTTACCGGCCGACTTTTTCCTGCCATTTTACCCGACAATTTTTTTTTACAAACTTCTTTTTGGGTATTTCGCCTCAAAAATTTTTGTCTTTAAAAAAGACAGAATTTCCTCACGTCTTTTATTACAGATTGAT